TTCAGCTCAGCTTCCCCTAATAACTAGATCATTAAATTCAACCTAGACTATCTACTGAGTTTCAAAATCTGATTATCGATTTTTAAGTTTCTAAGACCACTGGTTGTTTCTTTGTTTATTAAGGTTTTTTTTTTTTTTAAAGATTTTATTTATTTATTCATGAGAAACAGAGAGGTAGAGACACAGGTAGAGGGAGAAACAGGCTCCATGCAGGGAGCCCGACGTGGGACTCAATCCCAGGTCTCCAGGATCATGCCCTGGGCCGAAGGTGGCACTAAACCGCTGAGGTACCCCGGCTGCCCTGTTTTTTAAGTTTTTATTTTCAAAGATGCCTGAGTGGGTCACTCAGTTAAGCAACTGAATCTTGATTTCGCTCAGGTCCTGACCTCACGGTTATGAGATCAAGCTCTGCTTGGGACTCTCGCTGCCCCTCTCCCCTGCTATCTCCCTCCCAAATATACAAATCTTTTTTTAAAAAAAAGATTTTATTTTTAAGTAGTCTCTACACTCAGCAGGGGGCTCAAACTCACAACCTGAGATCAAGAGTCACAGGCTCCTCCAACTAAGCCAGGCCCATGCCCCTGCCGGTTGATTTTTAAAATGGATTATTACTTGGAATCTCTTGTGGATAATAATTATTCTTCAACTAAACTGGTTTTTGTTGTTATTTATTCTTATCCTTATTTATTCTTCTAGATGTTAAGCTTAGAGCTATGCTACCCAATACAGCTTGGTATTTAAGTTTAAATTATTAGGGGCACCTGGCTGGCTCAGTCAGTAGAAGATTTGACTCTTGATCTTGCAGTTGTGAGTTTGAGCCCCACATTGGGCATCGAGATTACTTAAAACTAAAATCTTTTCAAACAGATTTTAAATTAATAAAACACAATATAATTAAAAATTCAGTTCCTCAGTTGCAACAGCCTCATTTCAAGGGCTCAATAGCCACATATGGTGTGTGACTACATATTGGACAGCTTGGCTACAGAGCACTCCCATCATTCCAGAAAGTTCTATTGGACAGTACTGGCTTAGAGTTTCTCTGTACCATAATTCTATTTTTCCTTAACTCTTTAGTGATTCTTGATGTTCTGCTCATCATTGTGTTTGAGGACATCTACTTGCCAGCTTTGTGTTCACTGTAGCCTGTCACTGGTTATTGAGAGTGGGTGTGAGATGAGCAGCCTCTGACAGCTCTTCTCCCTATTTCTCTCTTAGAGGGGTCAGAAGCTACCTGGAGCATTACTCTGCCTCTCTAGCCCTAGCATCTCGGGGCAAATCCATGACTACCAACTGGTCATAAGGCAGCAAGGAACATTCCTGGGACCTCCTCTGGTCATTTTGAGTCTGTCTCAGGCTTGGAGCCCTCAAACCATTCTTCCTTCCACAGTGGTCTTCTCCTTCACATGGTTTGGATGTGGTTCCCTCTAGTTTGATTGCTCTAGGGCTTTGATGCTATTTGTTCTTTATCTTTCTGGGATCTAACCTTTCTTTTTCTTCTCTTTTTTAAAGATTTATTTATTTATTTGAAAGAGAGAGAGAGAGAGAGAGAAAGAATCCCAAGCAGGTTCCATGTTGAGTGCAAAGCCAGATGTGGGGCTCAATCCCATGACCCCGATATCACGACCTGAGCTGAAACCAAGAGTCGGGCACCTAACCGACTGTGCCACCCAGGCACCCCTGGGATCCAACATTTCTGATATGTTGACGGTTCATTCTTGTTTCCTCACACTGTGATAGAGTTACTTTTTTTTTTTTTTTTTCTAGAGGTTTTCTGCCCTTTAGTGGATTGGGGCAGAAGAGAGGCTTTTCTGCCAGTTTGACCCAACCTTCAACAATACCTTTGTGTAAGCATCATCCTGCTCCTTGTAGACACGTTTCATAACTAACATTTCACTAAACCTGGTGATTCTCAAATTCAAAAGGTTGCATTAGAATCATCTGGGAATACACAGGCCCCCCTCCTGGGGGCTTTGAATGCACATCCTGGTTTGGGAATTATCGGCCTACTTAGTGGGATGGGTAGAAAAGAGACTCTAGTACTCCAGACAGGCCACCTACTTTGCAGGCTAGTTTGTGGCCAGATGCCTAAATGCGGAGCTCTAACAGCCAGATCACCACTTCCATAAGTGACTGGGACACTGGGTGGTGTGGAGATGGAGAGTCTAGAGGACCTCTTTCTCCTTGGACGGCAGGAGGGGTGAGAAGTTGCAAAACCCACTGGGGATAACTCCAGGACAAGAGAGATACAATGAGTACAACTGAATGGAAGTGAAATGAATGATCGCTGCAGGCCTCTCTCCCTCCCACAACGATATCAACTCTGCAAGCCCCAAAGATCAAAATGGGGCCAGAGAATTCCCCCATCTAGAGATTTTTTTTTTTTTAAACTTTAATTGCTATCCTACTGAGGGGCCCAACTCCAGCTTTGAGGAGATGTACTTACTGGTTAGATTTGCAGTAATGATTATTATTGTTACTGTTAAGAAGAATACATTCATTGTTTCCATTGAGCTCACAATGCTGCACAAACATGACCTCATTTCTCCTCTAAACGGGGCAGGTATTGTTAACTCTGTTTTCCAAAAGAAGGACATGGAGGTCCATTGCAGCAAGGCCACACATCAAGAGAGGGAGGGAAGGTGAAACCAGGCCCCGGGGCCTCTTCCGTGTGGGTCCTAGGGCCCTCTGCACTGGTCTAGGCTGACTTGTCTGGCCTGGGCTTTGACTTCTCTTATGGCCACAAAATCAGTTCCACGGGCCCAAGGGAATCAGAGCAGTCAGAGTCAGTCATCAACATTAGATACCATGAGAGAAATAATCTTTACTTTTCAGGGGCTCAGCCAAGTCCAGACTCCATTTTCAGCCATCAAAACCTTTCTCTCTTATTTGGCCCCCATTTCACAAGACTCCAACCTGGCTGAGTTCTCTCCCTACTTCCTCATCAAAGGAGTTGAGTATTTCACCCCTGAATCCCCTCAGACCAAAAACCATATTCACACAACATTTTTGTCCTTCTGCCCCATGAGGAGTTTCTGTTGCTGGCTTGTGCCTTGGGTCGGTTGCAGTACATTTGGGCCACTGTGCTTGCTCTGGGCTTTTGCTAAGACAGGTCCCCTAAGCCCTGACCCAGAACACATTTTGTCCTTCCTGCTTTCTACCCGCCCTATCCAAGCTTTAAGCCTCAGTGTGCCCCAGAAACCTTCCCTTGATCTTCTAGAAGAATCCTCTCTCTCTAAATTCCTGCCACCCTCATAAATTCATTCCACAGATAATTACTAAGGACTGACTCTGTGAGGCAGGCACTATGGATGATGATGGGGATACAACAGGGAACAAACCAGACAAGATTCCTGCTCTCATGGAGTTTATGTTCTTATGAGGGAGACAGGAAAAACAAAAGTAAGCAACTCAGTAAGTCAAAGATTTATGCATTGTCATAACTGTGTATGAACATATCTCAAATCTGTAAGGTCTCCCCATCTTCCACTCTGTCGAAGAAAGAGCTTAGCTTGTGTAGGTATGTCGAAAAGGTTTATGTGGCCAATGGGTGATGGCATCAGAGGGGCTTGGGTGAGGCTGGAGAGGGAGGCAAGGCTAGCCTACAAGGGCCTCAAAGACCATGCCAAGCACCTAGATTTCATGCTTAGATTAATAGGAAGAACTTGCAAGATTTTCATCAAAGGGTGACATGATTTGATTTGTACTTTATGACAGATATTCTCAACAGGACTGGAGTGGGGGAGGTGCAATTTTGCCCCTGGCTCCGAAGGGACACTTGACAATGTCTAGAGACATTTTTTTGGTTGTCACAACTTGGGAGGGTATAATACTGGCATCGGGTAATGGCAGGGGATGCCGGGGGAACATCCTACAGTGCGCAGGCCTCCCACCACAAATATCCAGAGTGCTGAGGTTGTGAAACCCTGCTTTAGGATGACTCTGGCTGCTGGGTGAAGAGACTCTCAGGGGCAACTTTTCGGCCCCTTTGCATTTTAACAGGGTCCTTCCGGTGACAATGCCTTCCACGAGCCATCAGCACGATCAGACTAGCTGAGCAGAGGAGGCACCCTTTGGAGGTATCACTGCACACGGGCCACCTGCTCTGTCGGGGAGGACAAGGGATTACAGAGACTCACTCACACTGTACCCTCTCCCTCCATGGTCACAGCCGAGATCTTGTCATGACAGCTGCTGCCAGCTCAGTATTCCCCTCCTCTCTGACCTCGCGAATGCCAGGCCTGCACAGGGCTGCAGAGAATCTGGGCACTGACAGCACTCAATGCCTGGCACTTTACAGAGAGCTCATGGGTATTTACACGGGCATGCAAGCCTGTCATCACAGCCTCACCATGAAAATCAACATAGTGTTAAGGGCTCTCCTCTTGCCCCAGTCCCCCAACTTGAGGTTGGTTTTAAGATTTAGGACAGGGAAGCCTGGCTGGCTCAGCAGTTGAGCATCTGCCTTCAGCTGGGGTTGTGATCCCGTGGTCCTGGGATCGAGTCCCACATTGGGCTCCCTGCATGGAGCCTGCTTCTCCCTCTGCCTGTGTCTCTGCCTGTTTCTCTGTGTCTCTATGAATAAATAAAATCTTAAAAAAAAAAAAAGGTTTAGGACAGGCATGATTGAGCTGTACTGATAATGGGAGGTCTGGAGAATATGTCTTCAAAGGAGGAAGAGACCGGTACCTCCTCAGGGGTGGGGTTGGCCAAGCAGATGACAAGAGAGTTTGTCTTGTGTTCCAGTTATGGACCATTCTTCTTCCATTTCTATGGAGGGTGTTTGCTTTTTTTTTTTTAACTTTTTTTTTTTGGGGGGGTGTGGTTTGTGTCATGGCAACTTTGAAGAAAGCTGTAGAAAACCTCTCTCTGGGAAAATGAATACTGGAGGCAAAAGTTTATTGACAATTTAGGAGATCCTGAAGGAACTAATTCGCACCAATGTGTGAATGACTAACAAGGATCTATATTTCCATCTTAATGGGGAATAAAGCCCTTAACCCAAAGGAACTGGAGTTCTTACTAGGGAAACTACTCCATCAGTGGGTTGAGACACACTCTAACGGGGCTGGGAAAGCATCTCCCTAACTTCTGAAGCCTTCCCATATCCCGACTGTACCTACTATAAAACTGGGTTTGGAGGTGGGGAAGCAAAAAGAGAGTAAAGGCAACAGGGGCTGTTTTTAGGCTAATTTGGAATCAACAGGCCACCTGAGACTTGACCCAATGTGGCTTGTTGGGACCACAGTACCAGATATTCCTGGTCAGCCCAGAGCATCTGATCTCATTAATGGGCCGGTAAAAATTAGGGGTACAAAGGCTGAGTCCTGGCAGCTCAAATGAATCTCCTCAGCAAGAGGGAACAATCTTGTAAAGAGCTGTAACTAAGCAAACGGAGGACTCATTGAGTTTCATTAACTTTAATGGTGCTCGTTAGGTTGGCTTCCAAGGGCTGTGGATAGGAGAGAGAAAGCCAGACTCATCATCGGGGCTTGGGACGGGGCTGGCTCTCCTGAGCACTCCTGAGGCGCCCAGCGCCGAGCTGGAAGTAGCTGTTCTTGCTGCCCCCACGGGCTCCCCAGCCCAGTGTGACATCCTGGCTACACAGGCAAGAAGCCCAGGCCTCCAGGACTAATTCTTTCCTGCCAGGGTAAAAAAAGACAGGGACAAAGAGCTTGGGGCAAACCCATCTCCAAGCTGGGCAGGCCCCCTGGCTCTGGGCACCCACATTGAGGCCCTTCCCGGGATGTCAAAAGTCTGGCTCCCATGCTCACCAAGCCCGCGCCACAGGATCCTGCCAGTCCAGAGCCTGGCCCCAGGGCCATTGTCAATGCCGGCCACGTCCCTGACCTCCTCCTTCTTCTCCATCCCAGACGTGTACACTGCCAGAAAAATGGAAAACAAACAGACAGGGCCAGCAGAAAACACATCACCAAACAAACCCGTCTCACATTGTCCTCTGTGGTCAGCCAGGGACTGGAGCCAGAGGCCACGGGCCTGGAAAAGCCAGAACAGCTCCCTAAGTGCAGCCCCTGAGCGGAGCCTCCCCCCCCCCCCCCCCGCAGGGTCAGCTGCGCCTCCTCCTCCACTGCTCCCTTCTCCAGCTTTCTTTCCCTTCTGTTCATTCTTTCCCTTCCTTTTACTTTCTTTGTGTGTGTGTGTGTGCGTGTGTGTGTCTTTCCCCCTTCTTCTGCTCTCTTTCAATGCAATAAGTCCACTAAACATTGAAGAAATCCTGCAGAGTACCTAGGCCCAGAGTATATAAAACCAATTCCTGATGTGAGCTGCCCACGCTGCCACCTCGCTTTTGAGTCATCCATCACGGAGGGGTTCCAGACCCACGCACAACCCAGCAGCATCACAGGGAACCCAGCTCTTCATTGTCTGGCTCACCTTTCAGATCTTCACACTAACACTCGTCCCCTTGAATACCACATGATTAGTTCCCTGGAGACCATCCCCCCTCCGGGTCCTTGCTCACCTCATGTCCCCCATCCAGAAAGGCCCTTGCCCTCTTCATGTAACTCCACATCTGGGAATTCTACGTATTCTTCGAGGTTGTCTTTAAACCCTCCCCTCTGGGGCGTCCCCAAGATTCCAGCTGGCATTAATCTGTCTCCTTTGTGCCCTCATTAGAATTTTATGTTGGCACTTTTGTATTTGGGCATTTACCATGTTCTACCTTATATTCTAATTATTTAGATGCAAATTTCTCTCTCCTACCTAATTACGCGAACTTGAAAGCAAAAATTATGTCATCTTTGAGTTCCCATATATCCTTTAAGTTCCTGGCACATAGTGAGTGCACAAAGAATGTCAAACTCATTAACAATTGAATTTACGGTTATACAGAGGCACGCATACAATTAATTCCACATCTTAACTTCACCATTTGCAAATTTGTGTGAGGCACTGGGCTCCTTGTGTTGGCTCCCGAGGGTCTGCTTTCCGGCGTTTGCCCAGGGCTGGAGGATGGTATGTTAGATGGCGGCACCTACTGGCGAAGGGTGGCATTACCGCTGGGTCCGCCGAAGAGGAGCCACCCAATCTTTCCCTCAATCCCAACAGGATTGGACCGTGGCGTGGGGCGGCGGGTGCCCTGCGGCAGAAGAGGACTACAATGACTTCCTCTCGCTCCTCAGTAGCTTTAGAATGGTCAAGGGGAGGAGCATCCCTGACTTAGGGCCAGGGCTCGTTCTCTACCAGCGCACTGCAGCCTCCTGCAGACCCATAATTTTGCAGGACCAGAGTAAGACAACCAAGGAATAACAACCTGGCTGAGATGCCCTTGAGCTTTGCCAACCCAGCCTGGCATGATGCCCCAGACAGCTCTCCACCTGAGACAGAGGAAGAGAGGTGGCATGAAGGGAGAGCCTCTTGCCAGACAAGGGAGGCAAACTTCTGTATGGATATTGATGCTCAGCATGAGTACACAGCCAGCAAACATTCTGACCCCTTCCTTACTGAAAGTTTTCAGCTTCTCCTAACAGGATTTTCAGTTCTATGGGAGCCCTTCTCAGAAAATACAATAGAAGCTATTGGAGAACTGAGTTTTGTTTTTTTTTAAAGAGCCATTCGTTTTATGAATTGGTACATGAACACCTTGAACTTGGCCCCAGTCCCTCCATCCACCCTTTCTTTGTTCCAGGGTACCCAGAGGAATTACACTGTTAAGTGGAGAGGTCCCCCTCTGTCTCTTCAACTTTTCCTCTGGGGAGGAAATCCAGTGGGGATTTGGGGGAGGGCAGCCAGTGGGAAACAGAACAAAGCTGAGCTGGCTCTCAGCGAAGTTCCAGGTTCATATAGGAAAACCTCTATATTGCCCCTCCTTTGCCACACCTTGGTTAAGGTTTCAACTGATAACTAAAGATTTAACCAGCAAAGGCTTAATCTAGCTACTTTGTCTCACAGAGATATTTGTATTTGGGACCCAAGGAACACAAGGTTTAGCTCAAAGGAGTGACCCTCTTATGATGGAATTTTAAACATCGGTCTTTCGATCTTGGATGGAGTGGTTGAAAGATAATGAGAGTTCTGCCTCCTGAGCCTGCTTCCTCCAAACAGAAGCTGCCTGTGGACCTGGCGCCATCCACCTTGGCCCCTGGCCTTTGGAGAGATCCTGAGCTCTGGCTTGCAAGGTTCCAGTTCTGCTTCTATATCTTCCAGAATCTTAGAGTCTCTGGCCAGAGTGGCTTCATAGGCCCCAGCATCTCTGGGGTTTTTCTTCATCTTGGAGTCTCTGCACTGCCTCTCCATTTAACCCTCTGCTGCCATCAGTCCTTTCAGCAACCCAAAGCAATCTCTGGTGGGAGGCAGAGAGACAGGTCAAGAGATATTCCTTGGCATTCCCTTGAATTTCCTTGGGATTCCCATGAACTCACATTCCTTCATTCTTTTATTCATTCAACAAACATTCACTGAGCACACAACTATATGTTCAGGACTGGGGATACGGTGGTGACCAATATGGGTCTTGCCCTCAACAGTTTTGAAGACGAGCAAAGGAAAACAGCTCATCACAGTACAGTATGGCCAGGGCCACCACAAGGACCACTGAGTTCAAGGCCAGCAACAAGACACACTTAAGCTGGATCTTAAAGGGTAGTGGTGGTTTTCCAGCTGGCAAGAACATGGTATATGCCAGGCACAGTGTGTCTAAGTACAGTGATGGTGAGATCAGAAGACAAACATAAGATGTCATTGGAGAGAAGGGTCCAGGACTGGCACAGAGGGCCATGTATGCCATACTAGGGGTGTGGAACTTACCCCTGTCAGGCAATGGTCCACAGGAGATGTAGCGAGTGTCCAAACGAAGGTAGTGGCAATGGGGGTTGGCTGAAAGGATGGATTTGAGGGAGATTTCACAGGATCTGGTGCCCTGTTAGATGGAGAGAAAGAGTCCTTCGGTCCCAGAGAAACCCACCTGGGGCTGCTCAGTGGGTTATGGGCCCATTAACCTCAAGGTGGAGGTCACAGGAAGAGGACAGTTCATGGAAGTGCTTTGAGAGGAACTGTGAGTTTGGTTGGGTGTCTATTCAGCTTGAGATCTTGAAAAAATGCCATTGGAAAGCACTATAAATAGGAAGAAATACAGGACTAGATAGAAAAGAGAGGAAGGAGCTAGAGATAGAGATCTGAAAATCAGACACATAGCATAAAAGCTAGAAGAAAAGTGGGGGTTAGGGATGTAGATCCGGGAGCTTTTGGCACATTGGTGGTAGCTGGAGCCATAGGGCCCCGCAATGTGGAGCAAACTGTCCACCTACTGTGTGCTGGGACTTCCATGAGATTTATCAGCAGTAACTGTCCAACAACCTGCAACGTCCAAATTTTATCCTCCTCTCCTCATTTGCTGGATGAAGAAGTTGAAGCTCAGAGATGTGAAGAAACTTGATCAAACTCACCCACTGATGGGCTGGGATTTAAACTTAGAACCCTCTGACCACAAAGCCAGTATTCTTTCCGCCACCCTCGCTGTCACTGGGTGAGAGTCCCTAGGGAGGTCATGTAGTATGAGAACTGAGAAAAATCCAACCTGGAAACACTTAAGATGCCAGTGGGGGATCTGGGAAGAGAAAGGGCTCCAAGAAGGAAAAGAAAAATGTTCAGAGGCTTCTGATGACCCAAGGAGGTCAGGCTAGATAACGACTGGCAGGCAGCCCCAGATAGGGAAACGTGGAAGTCACTGGGCCCCCAGCAGGTGTGTGTTGGGAGCCCTGGGACAGACTGTCCTAGGGTGAGGGGTTAAGGGAAGCAACGAAATGGAGATGAAGAGCAGGTGTGCTCGCAGCAGGGTCTGGGGAAGTTTGTTGTCTACTGCTACCGTAGGATGCTGTGGGTTGTTCTGGGTTTGTAGGAGAAGGAGCTGAGGTCAGGGATTCAGGAGAGGGAGGAGATAGCTCTAGCTCCCCGTAGGGCCAAGACAAGATGGGATCCTTGCACATGTACATGGGTTGGCCTTGGCCAAGAGGAGGGACCCCTCTCCCAGCAGTGGAAGGAAGAGGGGGCTGGGGGACAGGATGTTCAGTGCCCTCTCCGTGAAACAGGAGTTGAGGGTACTGATGGGAGAAGTGAGGGGGCTGAGGCTGGCAGAGGGGAAACCAAAGTTTAGAAGAGCAGCTGTGTGGAAAGGGACAGAGCACAAACGCAGGGCAGTTTGGAGACTTGCCTCGTGATGTGGAGGGGTCTGGAACCACGCATTGGTGTCAATGCCATTTGGCAGGCTGGGAATTTTTGTTTCCTTCATGGAAGCAGCCAGGAAGCAGGTGGGAAGGAAGCAGGTGGCAAAGTGACTCAGGTGTGGGGGTGGGCAGGGAGGACAGACTGGGTGGACATGGGGCCAAGGGGCCAAGGAGAGAGACTGGAACAGGTCTGGGCAGCTTGGACGAGGCTGTACTGCCTCCCCACCCAAATAGACCTCTCTTATAAAGGCAAGACTGAGGGTCTTGGAGCAAGTTAGTCCTAGAATCCCAGGGCCAGAACAGACCTTGGAGAGCATTACTTCCTATCCTCTGCCTATATGACCAAATGGCTCCTGAGTCATCCCAGATAGGTGGGAAACAAGGACCAACCAGGGTCAACATGTCCAGTGACCTGATATGATCCCTCCCTCCTTTCTTCCATTTCTTTGGTTGTTATTCTGAGTGTTCTCTTTTTTTTTTCCCTGTCAACCACCGATTTTTATTTATATTTCTATCTTATCCATTGATTTCTCTCTAAGTGTCATCAAGATTCACCTCAAATCCCTCTTCATCCATGAAGTCTCGACTTGGATGATAGACTTCTGTTTCCTGACTTTCCATGGCACTTCCATCTGGATTGCTTGATGTTGCATTCAGATAACTTTGTTTTGTGTATACAAATCTTGCCTTCCTGGTGAGATTCCAGCATTTGGGGGATTTGCCATGTGATGCAGAGGGATTTGGAACGATATGCACTGATGTTGATATATCTTCTTGAGTAGGGAATCACATTTTCTACTTCTTTTGCACACCTTAAAGGGCCCAGGACAATGTATATTGGGGAGAGGGTATGCTATAAGTACCATATTCCACTTGATAGAAGGATGCATGACTGATCAAATTTTCAGGAAAAGGAAGAGTGAGAATTAGAAGAGGTGGGACTGGCAACTCTGAGGGTACTAGGCTAAGGAGCACTGATCCATGAGTCAGAAGTCAGGGAAGACATGGATTCTGCTTCTAGCTTTGTCTCTTAAATTTGTGTGACATCTGAGCTCTCATCAGACAAATGTGATAGCTAAAGCCTTTTTTTTTTTTTAAGATTTATTGATTTACTTGATGTGGGAGAGGAGAGAGAGTCTTAAGCAGACTCCACACTGAGCACGAAGCTGGATGAAGGGCTTGATCTCACAATCCTAAGACCATGACCCCGAGATCAAACCAAGAGTCAGCTGCTTAACCGACTGTGCCACTCTGGAGCTCCGATGGCTCAAGCCTTTTGAAGTTGTACTCCTACGTGATCCTCCAGAACAAGATGACTGCCCTATTCCCTCTTATGTGTAAAGGGACTGGTCTGTGACTCTCACTCAGCCTGTCCCAAATGATTAAACTATAACAGTGGCCAGAATGTGTTAGGACTCTGTGGATTCAGAGGAGGAAGCATAGAGAATGGAGGGGGTACACAAGCTTCAGAGTCAAGTCCAAGCCCAACTTTGGCTTTGTCTGGCTTTGTCTCTTCTTAGTTGGTCATCTGGGCAGGTTGACCTACTTGAGCCTCAGTTTTTCTCATCAACAGAATGAATATAATGATTCTTGCCTGATAGGCTTGCTGGAATGCCTGCTACAGTGCCTGGCACACATAGAAAAGCACTCAGTAAACAGTAGCTATGAGCTCTAATTGGTCTGAGTGTCTGGGTCTTCTTCACGCGAGGTAGGAGGTGCAAGGGCATAGGGAAAGTGGGATTCTGGAATGAACTACCGTCCCTGGCAGGTGCACTTCCTTCTACTCTCCAACTTGAAAATGCTGCTGACAAGTGCGGTGAGTTTGAATGCAAGGCACTTCTGGAAACCTCCCAGTAAGAAAGGATAATACATAGAACCTTTTGGAAGGTGGTGAGAACTGAGCCCAGTTTGTTGTACTCATGCTCAGCGGCATCAAAGTCTGGCCCAGGACAAGACTGCTTCTTCCCAGGCACTATGATACCTTTACTATCAAGCACTGTGGCCTTTGTTCCTTCTGAGAAGCAGTCAGAATAACAGCAGTAGCTACCGCCTACTGAATGCCTACTATGTGCCAGAGGCTTTCTGTTCCTTGCTTCATTTAATTAATGCCATATAATTTCGAGGTGGGCATTTCTATTCCCTTTGTCAGAAGAGAAAACTGAAGCTCACTGAGATTAAGTGACCTACCTGAAGTCACACAGCTAGAAAATCAACAGAGCTGAGATTTGCTTCTTTTTTTTGAGAGAGACAGAACATGAGTGGGAGTGGGGGCAGAGGGAGAGGGAGAGAGAGAATCTTAAGCGGGCTCCAAACCCAGCACAGAGCCCTACTCTGGACTCAGTCTCACAACCCTAAGATCATGACCTGAGCCGAAATCAGAGTCGGATGCTTAACTAACTGAGCCACCCAGGTGCCCCAACAGAGCTGAGATTTGAACCGCAGGGTTTCTTTTACTCTCAAACCCATGTAGTTAGGCAGGGATGCATGCCCACCTTTGAGGTTATGTGACCATACCCGTTCTGTAAATGAGGCAGCTGAGGCTCAGAGAAGCGAAATAACTAGCAGAAATAGATAGATGGCTGGAAAATGGGAGGGCCCAACATTGTCGTTGGGGTAGTCTAATTCTGACACATAAGTGTTCTCCATCAGAATATACTGTCTATCGAGGAGGGTCACTGGACCCATTTTACAGATGGGAAAGCTGAGATGCCGAGAGAAAAAGCAAAGACTCATGGAAGGAGACTTGGCAGGGGAGGGGAAGTCCCAGAGTATGATGAAGCCCTGGCAGATGTATCCCTAAAGCAGGATCAGGCTGGGTCCCCAGCCCAGTCCTCTCCCTAGACATTTGCAGGGGAAATTAGAATGAAATGAACGTCAGAAGCAATCCCAAAGGAAAGGGAAACCTGAAAGAAACCTGGCCTGAGAGTGTGTGGGAGGCCCAGAGAACCCAGGGACGTTTTTGCTCCTGCCAGTGAGGGTATGGCATATGCTGCTGCTTTTGTAATACCACTCGTAAGAGTCATTTCATTATTTCTTCCTTGTCATCTTCCTGTGTCATTACCCCGTTGTGAGTCCCTGCAGAAGTGGACAGGGCAGAGGGTCGTGGGACCAGCCTCTCAATTCACAGTGCCCAGTGATAGAAGCCTTGCTTCTGTTCCCACAGAATCCTCGGAAGGGCTGGGGGTGGGCTGGAACCAGACCGGATGGTGGGGAGCAGAGCAGGGACCTGCGCTTCTGCCAGTTGTGGAGGAAGCTCATCCTAGAGGAGCAGAGCAAAAGCTGGCAAAATGGAGGGGGGTGGGCAGAGGAAACCAGAGTAAAGGACACTGAACCTCCCAGAGACTTAGCAGCTATGATAGGGCAAGGTCCACACTCAGGGGGCCAGGAAACCACCGAACTAGAGAGAGGGTCTGAGGTGACCTATAGATCTGCCCCTACAGACTCCTTCATTCCCACCTCCCCTGTGGTCTAGAGGGTGAGCCGGCGCCCTCCTCCCTAGGGACCCAGAGAAGCTCTCACGAGTGTCCAAGACAAGGCAGAGACAAAGCAAGGCATGGTGCAGTCTCCCTTCTCTGGGTTGGAGGGGCTCCTCAGCTCTCTCCCTATGACCCCATGTAGATCAGCACCATCTGGCAACCTGCAACTCTTCTTCTTCTCCTTTTTTTTTTTTTTTAAACCACTCTCTTGTTTGGGGCAGAGAGGATGGCAGGTTTGCACTTGTCCCCCAGCCCTATACATAATTGGTGGCAGCAGGCAAAAAAGCAGCTTCAAGGGGAGGGGTTTGCCAATGGAATGAAGGAGGGAGGGAGTCCTAGAGTGACAGAGCAGGAAGGGACCTGGGAGATCACTTGACCCAACCTTTTGTGGCCTCCACACCATTCCTGTGATCTGTGTGCTTCCATCCCTACCATCATCTCTCGTGCCAGGCAGGGGCTCTTAAGACCTCCTCTCCGAGGCTTCCTAAGGGCACTGTCTCCTTTCAGCCAAGGGGCTAATCCATCCTCTTCTTTTCTAGATAGCACTGAGAGGCCCATTGAGATGTGATTTGCCCAAAGGCAATCTTCATCCCAGGACACAGCCAGGACAAAAACTCCAAGTGCTTGAGTCTGTTTTCATCCTCCTACTCTTCTACTCAATCCCTAGGGAAGGAAGGGCTCAAGTCTTCTCCCTGGGGGCTCAGGAGACCTCTGACACATCACACCTGTCACCTAGCTGATGTGAGCCGCTAGTGTCAAGGTTCTGAGAACTGAGTTATTTTCAGGATGATTCTGGTAATTTCCCTTCCTCCCTGGGTACCCTGAGGGCTTTGTGAGGTTACTCTGGGTCCCAATTGCCTTTTCGCTGCAGAAAGTTGGCTTTGAAATAACTGTCTGGAACCTGGCACGGTCTCAGGCTGATGAAGCCCCACGCTCCAAGAAAGCCCTCACTATCTTTTCAAGGGGGTTTTCTCTAGTGATGAGAGGAGAGAAGATGCCAGGCTGTAAATCCATCCAGGAGGCAGTGTCCAGGGCTCAGAGACACTTCCTTTTATACCCTTTGCATATATATATATATATATATATATTTTTTTTTTTTTTTTGCAAATATCATTCATCACTCCTCTGCTGCTGAGCAGTTGGAGATATGAAGTGTTCAGAATGGACTGTTGGGGCCACATCCTGAAGCTGTAAGGGTAGGTTTGGAGAAGCGTGTTGTGCCGATCTTTGTGTCTGCATTTACACGCATAGGCATATTCCCGTGGATTAGCTTTTGCCCCTGTGCCGAGCGCATGAGAGTTTTATCCGTAAAACCACCTCTATAGGGGTAGGGTGACTCAGTGGGCTACCTTCAAGGCCTTAACTGCAAGGGAGTGTGCCCTGGGGCTGGCAGTTTGAGCTGAGGGAAGACTACTTTCTTCTTGGTCCTCAATTAAAGTGGACTCGGCACTAGGATTGAACACTGAGACCAGAGGGTGTGTGTGGGGGGGCGTGGGGGGTGGAGGTAAGAGTTGGCAGGGAGTCGCTCGGCCCGAAGTCGGCGCCGTTCTCGGTCTTTCTTGGTCCTGTGCGGCCGCATCTCCCGTGCCCGGCCGCGTCGGCCGGCGGGCCGGGGTGCCAGCGCGATTCCGTCCGCCCCAGGCTCCCCGACACCCCGAGCTCTCTTTGTCTCGGGGCAGAGGTGTGCGTGCAAACCTGCGTCGCGCGGCCCCCAGCTCGTGCGAGCGCGGGGGGCGCACCCTAGCTTCCCCGCTCTTTCGGCGGGGAGAGAGGACGAGCCGGAGCCGGGTGCTGTTTGGTCTGGAGCAGAGCGGGGCTTGCATTGATCCATTGATTGTGCGCGGTCTGCGCCTGACCTCCCTGCTCCCGGGGAAGCCGTCTCCATGGAGACCGGGCCCGCTCCCCCAGCGCCGGATTGTAAATTCCTGCAGGCAGCGGCCCGGCAGCCTGGGGAGGGGGCCGCCGCGCCCGGGCGCGCAGGGGGAGCGGCCGCCGCGCCGAGGCCCCATTTGAAAGAAAAAAGGGGCACGAAAAAGGAGGTGGTGGAGGAGGAGGGGGGGGAGGAGGAAGAAAACGAAAAGGAGCAGAGGAGAGGAGGAGAAAGAGGAGGAGGAGGAGGAGAAAGGCGAAGAAAAAGAGACGGAGCCCGAGACGCGGAGAAGGAGCGAGAGAGGAAGAAAGAGAGGCAGAAAGGGCGTGTTTCTGGCGCGGCGTTTCCCCTCCCCTTTCTCAGGTCCCTCGCTCCGGCTCTGCGCGCTCTCCCGCCGCAGCTCTCTCGGGGCGAAGCCGGGAGTTGGGGAGGATTGGACGGAGCAGCCCCGCCGCCGCCGCCCGCTGAGCCCGGCTCGGACACGGCGGGGGCTCCCCTCCGTCCGCGGCGCCCGGCGCCCCCAGCCTCGTCGCGCCCTCCGCGCCGCTCTCCCCGGCGTCGGGCCGGGAGAAGCCGGCGGCATCGGGGGCCTCCCGCCGAGGGCGCCGCGCCCTCGCAGCCCCGCGCCCGCAGACCCCGGCCCGGGCCCGGCGGGGCGCCCCCTGCCCTGCCCTCCTCTCCCCTCCCCTCCCGCGCGCGGGGGCCCGGTCGGCTTCCGCCCTCGCGGGGCTGCGACCCCAGCCCGGGCCGCCCGGCCGCCCGCGGCTCCAGCCATGGGCTCGGGGCGCGTGCCCGGGCTCTGCCTGCTGGTCCTGCTGGTCCACGCCCGCGCCGCGCAGCACAGCAGAGCCGCGCAAGGTAAGGCAGGAGGGGCGCGCGGCGGCGGGGCGGCGGGGCCCCAGGGCGGGCGCGCGGTGTCCGCGGGGCCGGGCAGGTGCCGGGAGCGTGCGGCTGTCAGAGCCCGGCGCCGTGCGGGGCCCCGGTCGCGGGGGCTCGGACCTCTGGGGCCCGGGCCTCGGGGCGCCGCGTCCTGGCCGCGAGGCTGGAGGAGCCGGGAGCGACCCCGAGCAGTGAGACGTCTGCCCCCACCCCCCATCCCCGGGGCAGAAGTCGCCACGCACCTCAGCATTCTCCGCCCGCCTTCTGGGCCACCCCCAGCATCTTCGAAAGACTTCTTGTCTTCCAAAAGTACGAGAGAGAATCTTCTCTTCTCTCAGACATTGCCAGAAACTTTTGAGCGGTGGCCTGGAGAGACGGAGAGAATGAAACTTTCAAGCCACGCCGTGTATCTCTTCCCTTCACCCCACCCCCCACCCCGCCCCAACCCTCACGCGGAGTCAGACAAAATTTCCCAGTTGTTGTCTTATCAGTAGAAAAATGTTAAAGAAAAATAGGATCTTTCCTCGAAAGACCAGCTCGTCTCTCACTGGAAGGTAGGGGGCTGAAGAAGAGAAGAAAGATTTCTGACTGGCTCCCAGCAAGAATGTCGCTTTTCTGCCTCTTTGGGGGGGGGGGGGGAATCTCTTTCCTCTTGCATGGCTTTCATTTCTTATCATAATATTTATTTATTAAGGCCTCGGGTTTCCAATTCCATTTAAATCCAGGTCAGAATTACATTAAAATAACAAAGTAAAATTCCAGGCCAGGGAGCTCTGACAGGCCCCTCTAGGAATTAGAGAGTGAGCCAGGGAGGCCCTGCGGCCCCCATCCCTGACCCCAGGCTCGCTGCCGGGAGGGTCCGAGGCTCTGCTGGCAGAAACCAGGCTGGTGGGCTACAGTTCTCTTGGGGACAGCCTCCCCTCCCCGTTGACCTCTTGTTGCACCCTTCCCCCATCATGTCCTCACCCAGGAAGAGATTTATATGGACAAAAAGAAAATTCTTCCCGACAAGCCTTTGCTGAGGAGGATCTGATTCTGCCTATTGTCCCAGGGGCTCCTGAAGCCAGGCTAGGGTGTGGAAGTGGCTGAGCCAGAAGGGAAAGTTGAACTTAGGCATTGGGGAAGCCTGAGCCCCCAGCAGTCAGGTTGCTGTATCCTGGAGCCTGAGCGCCAGCCTGGCTCTTAGGCTGCTCTTGTGTACTGGATGGGCTCCCACTCAGGGTGAAAGGAAGGTGCTATACCAACACTGCCTCTTCAGCTACCTCCTTTCTCCAACCTGCCCTTTAACGGAGCCCAAGTGGTGGAGATCCGCAGCTGTCACATACCAGAGCTCACCCCCACCCCCTGGCAATCCCAAACTGCCTCTTCTCCCGTCCTGGCTCCAGACAGCCCACTACCACTGCCACCCCCAGCCTGGGAGCAGCCCCTCTTGCACTGTGGATTTGCTTGTGTTTTCATAAACAAAGCTGGCTTTTGTAGTGTGTGCTGACTTACTCATAACATAGAATTAGCTGGGGAGTTTAGTCTGAAGGAAGGAACAGATTTCATTCAGTAATCTAGAGACAAGATAAGGGCCTCTTTCAAGTTGAAGCCAGTGTCTGTAGTGGCCCTAGTGAGACCGGGGGGCTGGGGGCAAGAGGGGGAGCAAACAGTATATCCAGGGAGGTTCCCAGGGCTGATGGAGACTCCTACAAGGGACAGGTGCCAAGGGGAGGTCAGCTCATCCTTTAGGGACAGAAGACTCAAGATCCCTCCACGGGGAAAAAAACAAAACAAAACAAAAAGATCCCTCCACGGTGCTCCAGGGCTCCCTCTTTCATCAGACACCCTGCTAAATGCTGTGGAGGGCTAGGGAGATGCAGCCGGAGTGGAGGCCCCTGCCCTCAGGGAACTTACATCCTAATAGTTGCATCCACTACTTATATTCAGGCCACACCTGCGCTGACTGGGCCACAGTTAGCTGTGTGTCTTCCTTCCTTCTGACCCTTGAGTCTAACCTGGCATAGAATAAAAGCCTGTCATTTCAGCTCCCTGTGATGCTGCTGTTCAGGAAATATACCAACTGGGGCTGCCAGAGATTGGCTAATGACAGCTCTGTTGGGTTAGAGGGATGTTTCCGCACCCAAACCTACAGACCAGTGCCGCGGGAAAGCCAAGTACTGACGGGGCACACAGTGGAGTGCTGCAGACACTCCTTGCTCCCAGACATACCTCCTAGGTATCCCCAGTGCCAGGAGGTGTGCCTTTAATGCCACATGCTTTTAAATAAAGCTCTGGTGGGTCTCTTTATATTACAAATACCCTTGGTAAATGTCTTGTGTGGTTATTATACCTCTGGGTATAGTGTGTGTGTATATATAGTATGGTTACCATATTTCAGTGCCTTTTCCCCAAAGACTCCATCCCACCAAAGAACTAAAGTGGAAAGGGATAGGGAGGAGGAGAGGGACAAGGAGGGGGGAGCCCTGAGTGTGCAAGTGTGTGTGTGGGGTGAGGTTCACCACGATCACCCACAGGTGATATAGCTGGGTGTCTATGTCTATTGTGACTTGGTCATTAAGCCTAGAGATGTACATTTTAGTGTCTGAAAACTGTGTGTGGACAAATGGGTGGGTAAGCGTGTGTGACTGGGAATGAGTGAGCATGAGGGTACATGGTTTTGAGTGTTTTTCAAGTGCCCGTCTGTGTATTTTAAAGTAGACAGACTGGATAACCAAGATAATTGTTAACTTAAAAGCATTAATTTGCTTTGCTTTTTTTGGGGAGGGGGTGTGTGTGTGCAGCAGTGGTTAAAAAAGACCTAATCCTTGCTTAGGGCTCAGGTTACAGCTGAATGAAAAGGTCTCCTGGCCTCCCGGGGAAAACTTGTCCCCAGGGCGGGCTCAGGGAGAGCCAGCCTGGCCGCTTAGTTTACCTGGTTGTTTTCTCTTCTCATTAGGGATAAAATGTTGATAAAGTCGTGTATTTAGAGTTTCCCAGTAACACCATCCCCAGGACTGAGCCCGTTCATCTGGTGGCAAACAGTGTCTCTCTGTCTCCGTGCGTCTCTCTGGGTCTCTGTCTGGGTGTATGTGTGTCTCTCTCTTTCTTTCCCCCACCCCTCTCTTCCTCTTTAATGTGGCTGTTTCCTTTCCTCCCCGCTTCCCTGGGCTCCTGTGGCCAGCTCTTACAGTGAGGGGACTGTTCCTCCTAGCCCCTCCCTCCAAAATATGAAATGAAAACCATAACCGTGTCAGCGGGTGAGGGTGGCCCCGTGGGCAGCCAGCTATTGCCTGTGCCCCATCCAGGCCACACTGGGAGAGAGAGAAAGCAAGTCAGTCCCCACTCTTGGAGCCTGATCTTCAATCAGTTGCTTCTAAGCCTGTCTCTCCACCACCACCACCACCCCCCTCCATTTTTCCAGAAGGGTGGAGAAGGGGGGTGGACTGCTTAGAAATTCCTCAGGAATCCCTTTGACCTCTCTTCTCTCAGTGACATGTCCCCCGGGGAGGTGGGGGGAAAGCCTGGGGCCAGGGGAGGACTTCTTCACTTCTCACCCCTCATCTCCTTGAGTCTCCGCAGGGTGGAATGAGAGAGAGGGGAGCAGAAGACACCGACCAAGGCCAGAATTACTACAGGCGGACAGAAAAGAAAGTTATTAGCCACCCCTAAATGAGATTGTTTTCTGAAACCTTCAGGAATCCGAGAGCATGAGAACCGGTTTGAGATGTGAGCGGCTGGGACCTGTTGTAAAAGGAGCCGGCCCTGGGTGTGAGTTTGGGAATGTGAGGTGTGCATTCACTGGGGCATGCAAGCGTGCGTGTGCATGACTCAGGGTGTGTGTGTGTGTGTGTGTGTGTGTGTGTGTGTGTATCCGTCCATCCGTGCGTGTGTGCGTGCACAGTGCTCTGGTGAGAGGAAAAAGGAAGCAGGGAAATGTGCATTTTGTTTTCGTTGGAGAAGTAAAGAAGTGGAATGGCTTGGTCTGGTGCCTTCGATTGAGTGTGGGGGAAGGGAATTGATGGTTTCAGACACTCTTGTGAAGATGGAGCTGGAGGAGCTTGCTGCCTGAGCTCACCCCAGTCCCTGCCCCCGGCTCCTGTCCCCGCTTGTCAGGGTATGGGCCTCCTTTGACGTCCCTGTACCCCTAGCACATGACCACTTGCAAGAAAGAGTCCCTGTCAGGGCTGGAAACTGCAGAGCTGCTCTGAGGCTGGCAGTGCCCGCAAGAGGCCCAGACCTGGGGACAGCTTCTTCAGGCTCAGTTAGTTATAAGACAGGAGTCTGCTGGGCCCTGGGGGGAGAAGTGATACGGCTGCCAACCCAGCGATGTCTGCAGGGTTGAGGACATAGGCATCTGGGTGAAGAGGGGACATAGACCCTCTCCTCTTCCCCAGTGGCCCCTCTGTCACCAGACTGGCCACTCTCCTCCTGTGCCCTATACTGCCAGCCTGACGTAGCATGTGGTAGGGCAGTTAGTGCCAGTGGGGTTAGGTAGATGCAGAGCCTGAGGACTGGGGCCTTTGAGGGAAAAACTGAAATTCCCTTCCTCCCTTGTAAATGGGATAGAGTATTCAGCTCTGAGGTTCTGCACATCTTATCAAAATCCTTCCTGCTAGAAGACAGAAGACACCACAGCAAGGCTCGGTCCTGTCCCCAGACCTCCTCAGGCCTTCTCGCCTGACACTCAGGCCCTCTTCTCCCCATCTGCTTAGTTTCCCTGGTTGTTTTCTCTTCTCTTTAGGGATAAGATGTTGATAACGTTGTGCATTTAGAGTTTCCCAGTAACACCATCCCTGGACTGAGCGTGTCCCTGCCACTTGGCTACTCATCCTTTCTTCCCCAACCCCGGTTTCCTGGGGCCCAAAGTACTCAATAGTTTCGTGTCCTCATCTAGAGTACCCCCTCCCCGCCCGGGAAAACAAGTGTGTGTTTCTGTGCCTGTGTGTGGATGTGTGTGTACCCAACAACTTTGGGAAGTTGAGCTGCAGTGGTTGTGTTCTAGAAACTGAATACTGTCTAGGCAGGGCCCCTAGGCCCCAGCCCCTGGTCCTATACCGTATATTCTCAGATCCAAGACTAGCCCTCTGTGTTTTGCTCCAGCCGAAACATCTCCCCCTTTATAGACCAAGGTACTGTTCTGTCGTTGCCATTGGGTTTGGCCCCAGAGGTGAAGAGATGACTCCTAAATAGGGCGCTGTGGCCCTCACTCTCAACTACGGTCTCCCTGCGGCTGTAACCACAGCCCTAGACAGCTGTGGGGTTTGGATTTCAGAGCCTCAGGCCAGGGGCTGTCCACATCTGGTCCCTGATGGTGACAAGCTGAGGAGAGACCTGGGCAGGAGGTGCCGGAGCTGGAGGGAAGAGGAGCTGGAGGGAAGATCGCG